AGGGTGCCCCCACCCTCAGGGTCCCCCTCCCGCCCGGCTCTGGATGGGGGAAAGGGGTAAAAACGTACCTTTTTCCAGCGCTGGGCGGGGAGCTCTCCTCCTCCGATCCTCCTCTTCTCCTCCCATGCGGCTGAATGCGCACGTGCGGCAAGAGCTGCGCGCGCATTCAGCCGGTCACATAGGAAAGCATTATCAATGCTTTCCTATGGACGCTTGCATGCTCTCACTGTGATTTTCACAGTGAGAATCACGCAAGCGCCTCTAGTGGCTGTCAATGAGACAGCCGCTAGAGGAATTGGGGGAAGGCTGAACCCATACATAAACATAGCAGTTTCTCTGAAACTGCTATGTTTATAAAAGAATGGGTTAAGCCTAGCTGGACCTGGCACCCAGACCACTTCATTAAGCTGAAGTGGTCTGGGTGCCTAGAGTGGTCCTTTAATTCATTTTCCATGTGTAAATATTGTTGGTTGAGAACTTGGAGCTTCTGCCTTCTCACATCCATCTACAGTGCAGGAGTCTAAGTCCCAGCTACAGAGTAAGACTGGGAAGGTCAGGCATGAAATGATGATATACAAATATAAAAGTGACTCCACTCATTGATTTTAGTATATGGGAATCACATGCCTAATGACAATTTCTTTGGACTATCACTTGGTTCTTTGTTAGGGATTACTGTTATTGTGTATTGCACACTATTAGTGCTGGGAAGCTTTGGTAAGTGCCTCACCCTTGGATTTGTGGAACCAACAGAAATGGTATGTCTGGGAATTGAGGGATTGTGTTTTCAAACTGATCACAATCCAGGTTTCACTGAACATTTAGTGTCGGTAATAACACAGAAGTCAGAAAACATTATTGATTGAAAACCTGGTCTAACTTGTGATTTATTCGTTAATCTTGTAATGTCAAGCCAAAGGTCAATTTTGCAAAGTTTGGTCTAATTGCTTAACAAGGAATCATTACTTAAAATTGCTTGCTCATGTCAACAAGTTAGAATACATTTTGGGGTCTTGGTTAATTGTTAGAAAAAAAAAGTGTTTTAGGTGACTTTCAAGTGTTTTTAGTTCTTGAATTTGCTAAGTGTCTGATGGATCTGTTCATTTGTAGATACAGCTTCTTTGGAAAGATTATGACTGCTAAACCTTTAGTGTTTAGCATAGGGTATAGGATCCTTTGCATCGAATCAATGATAATTTTCTGGATCTGGAGTAATAGGAAGAACATAAATAGTATATAACGTTAAATACCATGGACAAAAATGACTGTAGCATTAAACAGCTCCACTTTATATGTAGAGTAACACACTGAGTAAGTCATCTCCATCAAACTGGGGAAGAGGAGGAAAACACCGTATGCAGTGATCCTCTATATGATTATAACACAAGGCAATTTATTTAATGCATTAGTGGCCTTAGATGACTCTGTGAGAGAATACTGACTCTCTCCATTTACCACTTAAGTGTATGGGGGTGTTTACAGATAGAAAAGCCTCCTTATATTAATGTATAACAGTTCATACATTATTTAGGCTCTGTAGGAGTGCACCAACAATTAGATAAAAATGTTGATATGGTCTTTGGTGTGATGTTAGGTTTTATTGAAACATATTTCATTTAGAAGCTTTTTAATTTGAGTTAATGAAAAGCATACTTGGATTCTAATGAGTTAGGATGCTCAAAGGGAAGAATTTCCCTGCCCTGTATTACTTGTGAACAGACTGAAATATTTTTCTTCGACCAGCAAAGGAAGGTAAAAGTGTGAAATACTACAGAGAAGGAAGATACAGTGTCAAAATGGAGTAACTTCCCTTGATAGTCTGGTGGTTTGGAAAGAAAACTGTAGTATAGGGTGGATAATGTAGTAAGGGTTGTTTTCTCTCCGTGTCCTTCCAACCCAATGTGTGCTTTGCAAGTTAACAGTTTGTGATAAGAGGGCTGCATTGTAATAGTTGGTTATGTGTGGGACTCCAATGCCTTCTTCGGTGATGGGATTGGTCAGTAGGGAGAGTTTAACTCTTGCAGAAAGTTGACTTCCTGGTAAGTAACTTCTGCTTGATTTGTGTAAGTTAGGGATGTGGTTAAATTTGTATATGGTAGAGATTGAGCGTGATATCTTAACTCCTAGATAAGTGAGATGCTCCTTGTGCCAATCAAAGTCAAACATCTGGGTGAAGGATAAATGTATTGTAACGGATCACCTGGCAACCTGACTGGGTACCTCCATTGAAGGATGCTCCTAGCGCTTCCTGAGGACTCCAAGCACTGCAGCAGACACCACAACCACTGAATCAGAGAAGCATACTAATGCTCTCAAGCATTTGAATGCTGTAAGCAGCTGAACAGGAAAAGCATACAATCAGCTTACACTCCTGGCAATCAGCATACAATCCAATTCTCCCAATAACGAGATGACACTTTGTTTTGAGGTCAAGCAGAACTGACTGTACTGGCACATACAGCCTCTTTTATTCACAATCCACAAACATAGTACTGCCCACAGGGCTTTGAAATACAACCAATCAATCGTACAATACACACAGATACTCCCACACAAAATCCTCCCCTCTGCCAACACAATGGTTAATATAATTATCACAGGCAAAGAAATACAGTATTATAAAACATATCACAGGGACCCCAAAACATGCAATAACCCCATAAAAACGGAACCGAGGGATCTGGGTGAACCCCATATCCAAAATTCACCCAGATCCATTCAGTAGTTTGGAAGATACAGTTTAATGCAGATTCCGCAGAACATATACAGGCTATATGAAAAATAAATACTGTATAATGTGTCCCCTGTTGTATAGTTTAAAACTACTGCACAATGTCTTTGTGCACCAAATACCGGTGAGATGGCACCGTGTAGAAAAGTCCAAACAGTGTCTGTGAGTTAAAATGGCCGCCATCCATTGTTCTCACCATGTGCTTCATCCATTGTTCTCACCATGTGCCTCTGATACATGAAATGGTGGCCACCCAGTAACTCCACAGTTTGTCTGGTAGTTTATCCAGCTGGACCAACAAATGAAACACATGGGAAACAGTGCAACAAACAAAGGGAATCATAAAAAATATGGACAATAGTCATATTTGTGCACAATCTCCAGTTTTGTCACAGGGCACAAATAGTGTTTTCAAATGCCATATATCCCTGGGCCATAGTCAGAAGGTAGGAGGCGGGCAAGCAGCCCCCTCCAAGAAAATGTGGCGAGGTCTGTTCCGCAACATTTCTTCCCTTTACCCACCAGACTAACAGGGTATCTGACCTCCTGCCGGTCAGTGTCCTGGTTAGTCCAGCAACCCACCCACAAAACAGAATCCGCAGTATAACCCACCCACGAAAATTGGTTACTACACCTGGGGTAGTGGGTCGCTTGTCCATGTCCAGGAGCTCCACCTCAGCTCTGGGGGGTACTAGCACTCTGGATCGGTGGGTTGCTGAGTGGGCAGAGACCAGCAGTACTCTGCATTGTTGTCAGCGCTACCACAGGAGTAGCCTGGTTGGAGCCCAGGTGAAGGAACGGCATAGTAGGCTCCTCACTCCGGACCTGGGGCTGCTGCTGGAGGGGAAGCAAGGCTGTCTCCCCTTTGGATGAACAACCCTGCTGCTGGGGGACAGGACCGACTATCCCTACCCCCTGTGATGCATGTGCAGAGACCACGGTCCCATCTGCATTGGTGTGGGGCTTAGCATCTCCCCTTTGTGGGCTAGGCTGCCGCTGGGGAGGTGAACCGATGGTCTCCACTCCCAATATAATACTCTGCCCCTGGGGAGTAGGACCGACTATCCGTACTCCCTGTAGCTTGGGCGCAGAGACCATGGTCCCATCTGTACTGGTGTGGGGCTTATCATCTCCCTTTGGTGGGATAGGCTGCCACTGGGGAGAAGGGGTAACAAGCTCCTCTCCCATACATACTTACAGCCGCTGGAGAGGGAGACCGACTGTCTCCGCTCCCAACACAGTGTCCTGCTGCTGGGGAAAGGAGACTGGGATCTCTATTCCCTGCTGGATACTCTGCCTCTGGGGAGGGAGGACAAGGTTCTCCTCTCCCAGTAAGTCACTCTGCTGGAGGGGGAGGGTCCAGTTGTCTCCTCTTCCTGAAACTCACTCTGGCGCTGGGGATCTGGGCCGACCGCCCAGCATCCCTGTAGGGCCGGTAGAGAGACCACAGTCCCATCTCCCCCTGCCATCTGTGGGTCTTCCAAGGACCAGTCTGTAAGGTCCCTCAACCTTTTGCGAGTAAGGACCACTGGCTTCCGCACCCGGTAACTCCGGCTGCTGCTGGGGATCTTGGCTGGCTGCCCAGCATCCCGTTGGGCCTGGTGGAGAGACCTCTGTCCCATCTCCACCTGCCTGTTGTGGTTCCTCACAGGACCAGTCTATGAGGACCCCTACCTTGGGTTCCTCTGGCTGCCTCAGGGGGAAACGGTTAACCTCCTCGAATGCAGCCTCTCTTTGGCTGCTGTAACACTCCTTCCGTTGAGCATATTCTCTCTCTTTCGCCAGCCGGAATTCTCGGTCCATCCTTGTGTTTCGCTCGGCTGTGACCTGGTTCCAGATCGCCTGGAATATATCCATGGGCACATTATCACCATACTGGGCCACTCGCTGCCTCACCTGGCCAGCCAATCATCACCAGAGCCTTCCATACTTGTCTGCTCCAAGTCGCTGGATACCTCTGCTCCCAGGGGCGCTGCACGTGTGCTAGCGTTGCCCTCAATTTGTAACTCCACGAATGGTGTCTCTGAGCTGCTTTACCTCGCCCTAGGACGCCATCCCACCGCTTGCCACCAATGTAACGGATCACCTGGCACCCCGACTGGGTACCTCCGTTAAAGGATGCTCCTAGCGCTTCCAGAGGACTCCAAGCACCGCAGCAGACACCACAACCACCGAACCAGAGAAGCATACAAATGCTCTCAAGCATATGAATGCTGTAAGCAGCTGAACAGGAAAAGCATACAATCAGCTTACACTCCTGGCAATCAGCATACAATCCAATTCCCCCAATAACGAGACGACACTTCGTTTTGAGGTCAAGCAGAACTCACTGTACTGGCACATACAGCCTCTTTTATTCACAATCCACAAACATAGTACTGCCCATAGGGTTTTGAAATACAACCAATCAATCCGTACAATACACATAGACACTCCCACACAAAATCCTCCCCTCTGCCTGTGATATGATTACTGAACACATCAGTTAATATAATTATCACAGGCAGAGAAATACAGTATTATAAAATATATCACATGGAGCCCAAAACATGCAATAACCCCATAAAAAGCCTGGGTCATGCCAGGTGTTCCACAACCATCTTTCGAATTACTGGCAGGAGCCTGGGCCCCTGGAACAAGATGATACTAAGGTATGCCTGGAACTCATGGAGTCGTTGGTGCATGGAACAACAAGTAGATCCCGTATATGCACCTGCGAATTGCCTATTGAGTTTTCTTATGGGCTTATATGACCAAGGTCTGGCCTATCGTACTTTTAATGTCTATAGATCAGCAATCTCCGCTGGCCATCATGGAATAGAGGGTTCCCCAGTGGGTAAACATCTTTTGGTGTGTCGACTCCTACGTGGCATTAGATTTGCACAACCACCTCATCCTCGATATAAGTCAGTATGGGATGTGAACCTGGTTCTGACCTTGCTTGGAACCTGGCCACAGAATGCAGACCTCACGCTTAAACAGCTGTCAGCAAAATTGGCCATGCTCCTCTGTCTGATATCATGCAAACAGGTTTTCCTAAATCTACGTTCAAGGAGTATTATTTTCACCCTATAGAACATGTGTCATTGATGGTTATTTCACAGCTTTAGACCAGATTTTTACTAATTACATGACGTAAAGTCATGATTTTATAAAGGACACGGAGGCGAATATTAGCCCGATACAGGTACGTTTTCAGTTACGTTCTACGTTTTTCTTCTCACACCCTCGGTAAGTCATAGGGATTGATTTGACGTCTGGCTTGTTTTTTTGTAGTATGTCAAGATTTTATTGTCTACTGTATGCTTATTTTAGTCGCATATATTTAAATCATTCAGCCTAGTCTGTACTGTGGTAATATGGATGATGGTCTCTGGGACATATTTTACCATTTCTTTTCTCTGTCCCTTCCAGCTTGACACTTTGCTGATTACTACCATCAAGATCGGTTTTCTTTACAATTTACAGTGGATGTGTTCCTAAAGATCCATTCACGCGGAGGATATCGGCGGCTAGGCAGTCTGATGTGTTGATCCAGTTACTTTAATTTCATTTTTTTCGTTGAAGGTTGGCTTCGGCATCACCAAGAAAGAGGAGTGGCTAAGAGTCACATGGGATGATATGGCTATGTGGACTGCTCTCATTGGCTAAGATGCTATGATGTTATGGTTAATCCTTTAGGGTACTTGTTTAAAAAAGATTTTTATGAATATCTTATATCCTTTCTTTGCTGCTGAGGAATAAAGTAAGAGAAAAAGTATAATATTTGCCTCCTGTAATTAGTAAACTCTGGTAATTATCCCTTGTGCTCTCCCCTGGATATGCTGGTACTCACTACCTGTGTTACGGTGACAACATATAAGCAGCCATTTCATCAGCTGCAGCTATCTTATCTCATACAAGATGGCAGACGCCATTTGTAACATTACGCCTCGAGACCTGAAACCTCTATCCTGACTCAATTAGATGGACTGTTCTCTGAGTTCTGTTCTTGACTCACTTGTCACCTTGGAGGTTGCCACCGACGACTGTAGAAAACGCATCTCCTACCCAGAGTGGGGTTACCCACAAAAGGGCACCGATTCTGACTTTACCAAAGCAGCAGAATCTCCATTGGCAAGTCACCATGGGCGTCCGCAGCAATTTTTCCACGGGGGGGGAGGGGGAATTGTAATGACATCCATGCTTGGTCCCTTTTTGACAGTGTCAAGAAAGGGAAAGGGGCATAGTCATTATCACATAAAGCAAAGGTGAATAGCATTTTCACAACTATGGTGTCAGGAATACATGTTTGTATTCCTGACACTATAGTGTTCCTTTAAGCAAATTAAAAGAACATTCTGGTCACCATAACAACTTCATCTAAATTAAATTTTATGATGCCAGGAATCCCCGGGGTGCTCTCTTTCCTTTAAGAGGTTAAACCGCTCTCAAATGGTTTAACCCCAAAGGCTTCCTCCAGCTCCAGATCTCCAGGTCGCTCAGTGGTATTCAGCTTCTGAAACGGAGTGGCAGGAAGTGCAGATTGATGTCAGGCATGGGTACTGCAGATTGGCTAGAATGGTCAATTGACGCTCTAAGCCAATCGCTAGTTCCCGGTTCATAAAAAAGTTTTACTTTTTTATGAATGGTGAGCTACTGATTGGCTTAGAGTGCCAGCTGACCGCTCTAGCCAATCAGCGACACTCCTACCCACCGGCACTCTGCTTCCTGACACTCAGTAAATAAAAGTCAACACATTAACACTGATATTTTTTTTTTTACCTGGGGAGATGAGAAGGTCCAAAGTTTCCCTGCCAGGCCCAGGTACCAAAGCCTTATGATGTGGTGTCCAGAATCAAGTGGAGGGTTCACTTCACTTGTCCTTCCTGCTCCAATCTCCTTTTCTTCTCCATTATTTGACACAGTCTTCTTTTTCTTCTGACACTGTCTTCTCTCCTCATTGGCTCCTTCTACTCCTTTACCTTTCTGCTACTTTCTGCTTATTTTGCACCCTTCTGTTCCTTTCTCTTACTGATCCCTTTCTGCTCCTTGTAGACCCTTTCTGCTCCTTCTCCTACTTTACATTTGTACTCCTTCTGATTCTTTCTGCTCCTTTACCTTTGTTCACCTTCTGTCCCTTTCTGCTCTTTGCAGACCCTTCCTTCTCCTTGCAGATCTTTCCTGCTCCTTGCAGATCCTTCCTGCTAATTTCTGCTCCTTCTCCTGCTTTACGTTTGTGCTCCTTCTGCCCCTTCCAGCTCATTGCTGCTCCTTGATGTCCCTTCCTGCTCATTTCTCTTCCTTCTCCTACTTTACCTTTGTGCTCCTTCTGTCCCTTCCTGCTCCTTGCTGCCCTTTCCAGCTCCTTGCTGACCCTTTCTTCTCCTTCTACTTTACCTTTGTGCTGCTTTACCTTCCAGTTCCTTGCTGCCCCTTCCTGCTTCTTGTGGACCCTTTGTGCTCCTTGCTGACCCTTCATGCTCCTTGATGCCCCTTCCTCCTTATTTATGTTCCTCTGTGCTCCTTCTCCTACTTTACCTTTTGTGTTCCTTGCTGTCCCTTCCAGCTCATTGCTGCCCCTTTCTGCTCCTTAATGTCCCTTCCTGCTCCTTTCTGCTTCTTCTCTTACTTTACCTTCCTGCTCCTTGCTGACCCTTCCTGTAGGCTGTCTCCCCCATCCCTCACTTACCTGATCTATAGGCTGCCTCCCCCCATCCCTCACTTATCTGATTACCTTTCCCTCACTTGGATCTATAGGCTCTCTCTCCCCTCCCCCCTCCCTCACCTAGCTTATCTATAGGCTGTCTCTCCCCCATCCCTCACTTACCTGATCTACAGGCTGTCTCTCCCCCATCCCTCACTTACCTGATCTACAGGCTTCTCTTCACCCCCATCCCTAACTTACCTGATCTATAGACTGTCTCTCCCTCCATCCCTCACTTACCTGATCTGTATGCTGCACCCCCTCATCTCTCACTTACCTGATCTATAGGCTGTCTCTCCCCCCATTCCTCACTTACCTTATTATAGGCTGTCTCTCCCCCCATCCCTCACTTACATGATCTACAGGCTTTCTCTCCACCTCCATTCCTCACTTACCTTATCTATAGGCTGTCTCTCCCCCATCCCTCACTTACATGATCTACAGGCTTTCTCTCCACCTCCATCCCTCACTTCCCTGATCTGTAGGCTGCCCCCATCCCTCACTTACCTGATCTATAGGCTGTCTCCCCCCCATCACTTACCTGATCTATAGGCTGTCTCTTCCCTCCCCCCTTCCTCACTTACCTGATCTATAGGCTGTCTCTCCCCTCGCCCCTACCTCACTTACCTGATATATAGGATGTCTCTCCCCTCCCCCTACCTCACTTACCTGATATATAGGCTGTCTCCCACTCCCCCCTACCTCACTTCCCAAATGTATAGGCTGCCCCCCATGTCTCACTTCACTGTTCTATAGACTGCCTCCTAATGCCTCACTTCCATGATCTATAGTCTGTCCCCCAATGCTTCACTACCCTGATCTATAGGCAGCTCCCCCATCCCTCACTTACCTGATCTGTAGGCTCTCTCTCCCCCCCATGCCTCACTTCTCTGATCTATAGGCTGCCCCCCATAGTCTGCACCCCCATCCCTCACTTACCTGATCTGTAGGCTCTCTCTCCCCCCATGCCTCACTGACCTGATCTATAGTCTGCCCTCCCCATGCCTCACTTACCTGATCTGTAGGCTGTCTCTGGCTGCATGTGCTGCTCCCCTGCGGATTCAGTCAGGAGAGAGAAGCAGGGATAAGATGTAGCTTCCTTTCTCTGTCTCTCTCCATAAACAGTATGGTATTGCACTGTATTTTCAATCTCACATGACAAATAGCAGAACAAGCTGAAAAATCCAGGAGGGGGGCAAGTACCTCCTTTACCCCACCTGCAGACGCCCATGCAAGTCACTATGATGCTGGATTGTAATGTATACCGGTAGGGCATAGGCTAATAGGGTATGGATCACCGAGCTTGTTTGTTTTTTGTGGTGTACTGTCTTTTCCATGCATGCAACACTGTCAATGTTATCACTCACCTACTCGCAGCCTATGATGTCTTTATCTCTAGCATGTGTTTTATTTAATTTTGTTTTACTCTACTCCCAATTTCTATCATGTTAATCCATTAAATAAGCAACTTATATTACTAAAGTTTTAAAAAATTTGTAGTACTTCAGACATGTATTGCGACCTCTTTTTGAGAGTCTTTAATGTTAGTCTTTGCAATGTCATTTGCAATGCACTACAAAAATAAAGAATTGAAAAAGATTAAATTTTTTTTTTTATATCTTTCAAAAACTAGGACCAGTTTTGTTATTTGTTTGTTTCATTCCACATTCAGCCATGAAATACTCATACGTGTAAAACACACAGATTCTAATTTATTGAATCCGTCCATAGAGGATTGCTGATTAGCTATGCCCAGTACCTTACCAATGTAGTGGTGTCTATCGTTAATTTAACTGGAACAGGGATAGGCAAACTTTGGCACTCCAGATGTTGTGGACTACAACTTCCTAGAAGCTTTGTCAGCAATTTGCAATGTTTTGTGGACCCAGGACATACTTGAAAACAAGAGAAATCTCAATATATCTTTCCTGGTAAACTATTTTATAAATAAATAAATAAATGATGGCTGTAAGAGCATTATGGGAGATATAGTCCGCAACATCTAGAGTGCCAAAGGTTGCCTAACTGTGAACTGGATAATGGATATGAACTGTGCTTGTACACAACATTTCAGCTTACTCCTGCGTTCATTTTTTTTTTTTTACTAATTTATACAAAATGACGAGCCAGTAAACTTAAGGAAACACCCGTCTATTTCGCAAATGAGGCAAGAATTTTTTTTTTTTTTATTACAAGTCAGTATTAAATGCACAGTGAAAAAGACAGGTTATTTAGTGCAATACTGCCCTCTTGTGACCATACTGTGCACTAACTTATGCAGTCTTTTTTTTTTTTGCAGATAAATAAAGCTGTTGACAGCTGCTCTAACGCAGGCATGAAATGACTAAGCAGACAACCACAAAGTTTTGTAATGTTTTTTCCCCTTCATAATATGGGAGATTATTAGTTGGCTTTGGCAACATCAAATTATGCTAAAACACTATTGTTTATTTAGTTCATCTGAGCTACTCTCAATTTGGTTGAATGTGAGTAATCCCATTGGAACCAAACATGCATGCCCTAAATCAGATAAATCATTAAAAAAAAAGAAACATAAATACTGCATTATACCTTAAACCTGCTACAACTACATCTCAGCGTTAAGCATTACAGAAATGACTCGCAAACTGCCTCACACCTCATTACATTCAACAAAAACATGAACACAAGTCCATGTATTCATGGTTAGCATAGATTTCTACTTACGGTAATTGGGTAACTTTATATTCACCAAGAGTACCAACCAATCAAAATCAATATATCAACCACAAACACTACTAAACCACTGACAGCATCAGAGAGACAAATTTTCACTCACCGCTGCCTTAACTCTCAGAACAGGACTGCAGTTTAGTTGGCCAAGCACTGATGTTATTCACATTTCTGGTAAAGAGATGATGGATACCGCACTCACCAAACAACCAAGGTGCTCCGGATCCGGAGCTGGCCAGGCCACACTTCCAGATATGCAGAACATATTATGGTCCAGGCACTCAACGAAGTAACAAAATTAGCAAGTTTATTGGGGCAAGAGCAGCAACGTTTTGACCCAAATGGGTCTTTATCAAGCCTGTTTAGCAGCTTGATAAAGACCCGGTTGGTTGTAAACATTGCTGCTCTTGCCCCAATAAACCTGCTGATTTTGTTACTTCCCTGAGTGCCTGGACCATAATATGTTCTACATACACACATTACTGGTGACATCACAGGAGGCAGGAGATACCAAAAAAGTGGCCCTGGTATTTTTGCAGCCACCAAGGCAAAGCTACACTCAGGACAGCCCATGCAGAGAGCATTGTTCAAGAGGCCTCATGTGGGCTAAATGTCCTGTGTTTTGTTTGCACTGTGTAAGCACTTTGCATGATGTATTTGACCAGTATTTTCTTGGGATTTATCTCAACATAAGGCCATTGCAGTTGGCACTAACCATGAAAGCAAGTGGTTAGTATCTCTGGAAGCATGGATAAGGCAGTGGCTGAATGACATGCAACAGAGGGTTGTTGTCAATGGAGTATATTCGAAGCAAGGTCTAGTCACCAGTGGGGTACCTCAGGGATCTGTACTTGGACCCATTCTCTTTAATATTCTTATTAGTGATATTGCAGAAGGTCTTGATAGTAAGGTATGTCTTTTTGCTGATGATAATAAGACATGTAACAGGGTTGATGTTCCAGGAGGGATAAGCCAAATGGCAAATGATTTAGGTAAACTAGAAAAATGGTCAGAGCTGTGGCAACTGACATTTAATGTGGGCAAGTGCAAGATAATGCACATTGGACATAAAAACCCAAGGGCAGAGTATAGGATTTTTGATACCCTACTAACCTCAACATCTGAGGAAAGGGATTTAGCAGTAATTATTTCAGATGACTTAAAGGTAGGCAGACAATGTAATAGAGCAGCTGGAAATGCTAGCAGAATGCTTGGTTGTATGGGGAGAGGTATTGGCAGTAGAAAGAGGGAAGTGCTCATGCCATTGTACAGAACACTGGGGAGACCTCACTTGGAGTATTGTACACATTACTGGAGACCGTATCTTCAGAAGGATATTGATACCTTAGAGAGGATTCAGAGAAGGGCTACTAAACTGGTTCATGGATTGCGGGATAAAACTTACCAGGAAAGGTTAAAGGATCTTAACATGTATAGCTTGGAGGAAAGACGAGACAGGGGGGATATGATAGAAACATTTAAATATATAAAGGGAATCAACACAGTAAAGGAGGAGACTATATTTAAAAGAAGAAAAACTACCACAACAAGAGGACATAGTCTTAAATTAGAGGGACAAAGGTTTAAAAAATAATAATCAGGAAGTATTACTTTACTGAGAGGGTAGTGGATGCATGGAATAGCCTTCCAGCTGAAGTGGTAGAGGTTAACACAGTGAGAGAGTTTAAGCATGCGTGGGATAGGCATAAGGCTATCCTAGACTAAGATAAGGCCAGGGACTAATTAAAAGTATTTTGAAATATTGGGCAGGCTAGATGGGCCAAATGGTTCTTACCTGCCGTCACATTCTATGTTTCTATGGCACGGTAGAATGATGATAATGTGGCGTGGGGAGAAAACAAGATGGTGTCACTAGGGTAAGAGAGAAAACATGATCAGTGTATGGGATGATAGGGACAGTGGAGTGTTAGGGGCGTGTGTTAGGGCGATGCTGACATAAATCAGTGGCCAATGGAGGCACTACCTGCAGGGAGCAAGATACAGAATCTGCAGAGATTAGTAGTGGTACGGGGAAGCAGCCATAGTTACGTTTTTGAGGGTTACCAGGTTTTATTTTGGAAACATTCCCCAGATAATTTAGCAATCTGGCAACACCTATGGGTTACTGGAGATTGGTAAAAAAAAAAAATCCTAATGTTTGTCCTGAGCAAGCTGTGTTAAAAATCAATTACCTTATTGCCATTCCATTCATAACCCAGTCTCATTGACCTCAGGCAGGCCAGAATATAAATTATCTTATCTCGGGAGAGCACAGTCTCTTTTTCTGAGACATGTTCATCTTATTTTTAATTCAGCTTGGCTGAAGTTGAACAAAGCTGGATAAGGTTATGATGAGACTGACAATAAGGGGATTGAGCCGTTAGGCAGTTTCATGCCCTTTCTCCAAATAACGTACTTATATTAGAGAGCCATTTTACTAGAAGTCTCATCATCCAAGCCCCCCATTCTCATCATCCTAGCCCCCATTCAACTAACACAGGAATACGTTGGGATCGGCTGTCAGTCACTAGCATGTATTGATCATTATTCATTTCCATCACAATACACCATGCCATCCACATATCTGATGACAGTAACTAGATATTAGTGCAAGGTAAGAAATATCAAAGGCATGAATAAAATATAATATATATCAAAGGCATTGTGCTGCCTGGGATTAAATATGGAAGAGTGCTCAAACCAATAGCAGGAGGTAGGAATGAGTCCACCACTTTGGTCAGGAAATGGTTAATTTGTAAACCAATAAGAGGAAATAAAGAATAAAATTAAAAAACTTTTAAAATGCTGCTACACAAAACCTTGCATGGTATAGAACAAAAGCATGCAAATGTTCACTTTAAATAACTAAACCTCTAAAACAGGGGTGCCCAAAAGGTAGTTCCCCAGATGTTTAAAACTACAGCTTCCATTATGCTTTGTCATTCTAAAGCATTTGAAAGGCATGCAAAGCATCAAGGGAGTTGTAGTTCTACAACATCTGGGGATCTACCTTTTACACACCGCTACTCGAAAAGGTCTGAGAAAAAAGCCACCAAGTCAGTGTGCTTTTGGTGTCCCCAATCATTTTCCATTGATTTGACTGATGTCTTTCCTTATTTTGTACCACTCATGCATCATGTTTCTCTTCCTTCCAGTGATATTCCAAATTACTGTGACACAAGTAAGTGTATCTGTGTACCAATGCTCCCCAGGTGTTAGTCCAATTCCTATGCTCCTATTCCTATTCATACTTCCTCTGGGGACATCCTAGTATATACAGAAAACCATGAAAAAGTTTCGGAAAACTGCAATGTTTAAATTGCAATGGTAAGACTTCATTTAATACCTGTCTACAAATATTTACTTTTGTGCAGCAAAGGCCACTATTTAGACTTACAGTCTCAGCATAAATTACCAAAACCTAAAATATCCAACAATATTTACAATATTTCATTTTAGTTTAGCATGTAAGTGGAAAACATGAGCAGGAATTATTCCAAAAAAGTTGGGAACTTTCTGAAAGATTACCAAATCAGTTTATCGAGAAGCAAGTAGCTCTGTGTGGCTTTGCTTAGTATACAATATAATTTCAACCTCATACATCAGTTTTTCTTTGATCCCCAGAAAGCTTACATTTTGGACAGAGGATAATAATATTCTAAAATCAGGACATCTTGGTTAGGTTCTATTCTTTTATTTATTGTACATAACAATTTAACATAGAACCTGTAATGTTAGAACTATGGACCAAGGCAAATTGGATGTGATCAAACATGAAATGACAAGGTTAAACATCGATGTCCTGGGAATTAGTGAAATCAAATGGACTGGAATGGGACATTTTACATCAGACAACCATCACATCTTCTACTGTGGTCAATAATCCTTCAGAAGAAATGCAGTAGTAATCATAGTAAATCATCTGGTGGGCAAAGCAGTGCTCAGCTACAACCCAATAAATGACAGAATGATTTCAATTAGAATTCAAGGCAATCCATTTAACATCACAGTGATCCAAGTTTATGCTCTAACCATGGATGCTGAAGAGGATGAAATTGTCCAGTTTATGAAGATATGCAACACATGATAGATATAACACCAAGAAAAGATGTTACTATCCTCATAGGAGACTGGAATGCTAAAGTAGGGAACCAAATGACACCTGGAATAACTGGCAAGTTTGGCCTTGGAGTTTAAAATGAAGCAGGTCAAAGATTAGTAGAATTCTGTCAAGATAATTCCCTGGTCATAGCAAACACCCTCTTCCAACAGCCTCTGAGACAACTCTACACATGGACATCACCAGATGGACAATATAGAAATCAGATTGACTATATACTTTGCAGACAAAGATGGCGGAGCTATATAGAGTCAGCAAAAACAAGACCTAGAGCTGACTGTGGCTCGGACCATGAGCTTTTCATTGCAAAGTTCAGAATTAAACTGAAGAAAAGAGAGAAAAACCATCAGACCAATCAGATATGACATAAATAATATCCCTTGTGAATATGCAGTAGAAGTAAAGAATAGATTTGAGGGACTAGACATGGATGATAAAATGCCTGAAGAATTTTGGACCGAAGTTTGCAATATTATCCAGGAAACTGCAAGAAAAAATATCCCCAAAAGAAAGAAATCTAAGAAGGCAAACTGGCTATCTGATGAGGCTTTAAATATAGCCCAGGAAAGAAGGAAATCGAAAGGTAGTGGAGATTGGAAAAAATGTGTCCAATTGAATGCAGAATTCCAAAGGATAGCAAGAAGAGACAATAAGACATTCTACAATGAGCAATGTAAAGAGATAGAAGAAGTTAACAGAATGGGAAAGTCAAGAGATCTATTCAAGAAAATTGGGGATCTAAAAGTTACCTTTCATGCCAAAGTGGGTGTGATAAATGACAAAAAATGGCAGGGTCTTAACAGAAGAAGAACAGATAAAGAATAGATGGAAGGAATACACTGAAGATCGATGAGAGGAAGGATCTTAACAGCAGTGATGACCTCAATAGTTTATCCAAAACTGGAACCAGAAATGGAACCAGAAATCTTGGACAGCAAAGTGAGATGGGCCCTAGGATGCCTTGCAGATAACAAGGCTGCAAGAGTTGATGAAATCCCAATTGAACTATTCAAAATTCTGCAAGATGATGCTGTGAAAATTCTGCTTGCCTTATGCCAGCAAATTTGGAAAATTCAACAGTGGCCAAAAGACTGGAAAAGGTCAATCTACCCAATCCCCAAAAAAGACAATGCCAAAGAGTGCTCCAATTATCAAACAATTGCACTAATTTCACATGCCAGAGAGGTAATTCTTAAAATCCTACAAGCTCAACTCAGACAATATATGGACCGGGAATTACCAGATGTACAAGCTGGGTTCCGCAGAGGACGAGGCACAAGAGATCAAATTGCCAATGTACGATGGATAATAGAGAATGCCAGAGAGTTCCAGAAAAACACCTACTTCTGCTTCATGGACTATTCTAAAGTCTTTGACTGTGTAGATCACAAAAACATGTGGCAAGTTCTTAAAGAGATGGGAGTACCAGATCATCTCATCCACCTCCTGAGTAATCTGTATGTGGACCAAGAAGCCACAGTCAGAAATGAACATGGGACAACAGAAGGGTTCGAGATTGGGAAAGGAGTGCGACAAGGTTGTATATTGTCACCTTATTTATTCAACTTATATGCGGAATACATAATGCGTAAGGCTGGACTGGATGAATTCAAAGCTGGAATCAATATTGCTGGAAGAAATATCAACAACCTCAGATACGCGGATGGTACTACTCTGATGGCTGAAAGTGAGGAAGAACTAAAGTACCTGTTGATGAGGGTAAAAGAAGAGAGTGCAAAAGCTGGCTAGCTAACTTTAAAAAGATTAAGATCATGGCAAACAGCAATCTTTGCTCTTGGCAAATAGATGGGGAAGAAGTGGAGGCAGTGACAGATTTTAATTTTCCTGGGATCCAAGATCTCTTCAGATGGTGACTGTAGTCATGAAATTAAAAGATGTTTGCTTCTGGGGAGGAAAGCTATGGCAAGCTTGGACAAGCTGGTAAAAACTAAAGATATTACACTATCAACAAAGGTCCGCATGGTCAGAACTATGGTATTCCCAGTAGTAACATACAGATGTGAGAACTGGACTATAAAGAAGGTTGAGTGTCGT